CTTCACTTTAAAAAATGTAAAGCTCATTTTAAATTATAGTAGTTTCACAAGAAAAAATACCAATTAACGGTCAATACCTGAGGTTTTAATATCAGCATCATATCGGAAAAGAAACGTGGTATTGTGTCAGCTCTAGTCATACTACTGTGAATCTGGTCTGGCCATGTGTGGTCCATCAAGGAACTCTGGCCAGGTCCATGAATGAATGAATGAATAAATAAATTAATAAGTAAGTGAATAAATAAATAAATAAATGGAAACTGAAAAACACAATGCATGAATATCACTAATATACATGTAGCATGCTGTACGTGCCTGTTTGGTCTGGAATATTTAATATGGGATAGTATAGGTTTTACCTGTAGAAAAAGGTACTCCTCCCTCTGTGCTGCAATGCAGAGGAGCATAACGCACTTTAAAGACCCAGAAACGTCAGGACAAAGTCATTGTGATTATACTGCCCTCCCTTCCTTTTCCCTTTCTTTCTGTCTTTCTCCATCACTCACTGTTATTCTTTCGATTTCCTCTCACTCTTCATAACTCTGTATGCGTTTGTCTTGCAAGTTCATACACGTCTGTTTCTAGAGCACATACTTGCACATCTAAAGCACAGACAGTACACATACATACACAAGTGCTTTCTATTTTCTGCCACACACAGAATAGATTTTTAAGCATAATAGAGGTTTTATTAACTACAGATTTCACAATGCTGTAATAGCACTGTGCTTGACATTTAAATATACACTATGTCCAGTGAATTGCCCACCTCAGCCTCAAGTCTCTCTGTGCTTGTGTACTATGTATAGACTTATGAGAGGAACAAAGCTATTAACGTTGTCGTGCTAATGCACGTGTACAATTGGCATGAACAGCAGATTTGATATGGAGTGTGTGTGGTTTTCAGTCTAATTGACTGCCTATTTTGATCATCAATTATTTTTAATTAGCTGATTATGATCGGTATACTAAAGTGTTCATTACTTTAATGATAGTCATCAACCAGATTTTGGGTTTTATAATTTCAGACTCAGAATCCATGTTTAGAAGTCTTACAAATCGTGGATATTCAGTTGCAGATAGAGGCTTGGATTAGTCAGAAACCATCCTGCATTCATTTAATTTCCAGTTAAATCAGCCGTTAAATAAAAGTTATTTATCTTTCAGGAGATATTTCTAATGGAATTAGACTTTCTAAAACTGAAGTTAAAAAATATTAAAATATATAAAATATACAGAGAAAACGGGACTCCTAACAACCATGCAAAACCTGGTAGACCACCAAAACTGTCAATATCAGATAAACAGAACTTCAAGCTTTCAGATTTGGGAGAGAGGAGAAAATCCACTCTAGCTTCAGATCTGAAAAATCCTCGGGTGTTGCTGTCCATCCTAGCTGTCAAGAAGCTGTTACCAAGACAAGGAAATAGACATAAAAGAAGCTGCTGATGTTCTCAGAACAATGGACTAATGGAGTCCAGTGAGAAGTAGAAAATACAAGCAATTTCTAAGACTGAACTTTGGAGGTGGGACAAAATATCCCTGTGGATTTCTTTGATGTTGAGCCTTTGTGTGATTTTCTGTTAAATATGTTAAAATTAAATAAATGAAGGTTGGTCTCTGACTTTTGCAGTACTTTACACAACCTCTTGCTTTTCAGAATGATATATTTTACACCATACTTGGACGTTCTTGAGTGCATTTTACTCTCTCTTTTGTGGTAGTTCTCCAAACAATTGTATAATGATGGTAACAGGCAAATGTCTCCAAATTCAGTATAGGATAAATCTAAATATCTGTAAATTAGTGATCTTCAAAAGTCATCAGTTTGTTGATGTTGGTTTAGGTAAAATGCATGGCACCTGGCACATGGCAGTGATGTAATGGCTTGTAACAACTGCTGGAGTGGGAAATTAGAGAATAGCTAGAGCAAAGGTGCACAGCCATAACTCACTCAAAATGTGTCAGTTCAAGCATTTGGTAGTAGGAAGGTCTAGATGGCTGCATAGGCTTGCATGTCCTCTGCTTAACTGGTACACTTCTCTTCCAGTGACCTAATTACGACTATAAAGCAGCAGGATTAAAGTGAGACTCTGAGTGCTGAGCACACAAACATCACACAGTTGTGATGTAAAATCACAAGTCTTTTAACAAGCTTTACATGCTTACTAGTTTATCTTCTTCCAAAATAATAAAGTAGTTTGATACTGTATATATTTTATCGTTTGACCTTTAAAAAACATCGTTCTTGGTAGATTACACAATTACTGATGTAATCGATAGTGAACTGCCTGATGATCAGCTATGAGGATGTGGTGAAGAGGATGAAGAGGATGAAGATGACGAAGACGTTGGAAAGGCGCAGGGAGGCAGACTGGGCAGAGCAGAGTGAGAGTGAAGGGTGTGACGCAAGAGTAGAAAATGGAAAGAAGAGAGGGAGTTCAAATGATGAATGTGTGTCTTATTTGGGGCAAGGTGTCCGTAACTTTCAGGTACTCCAGAAAACAAACTCCTCTCTCGTCTCCCTCTCTCACTCTGTTCTGGGTCAGGTAGTCTCCTGGGAGATAGGAAGCAGGACAGCACTGCCCCTCCTCTCCCTCTTCTTCTCTCCTCCCTCTCTCTCTCTCTCTCTCTCTCCTTTATGCCTGTGATGGTCTTTTTAATTACTCTCTTTAAGCATGTTTAATTACAGGGAGGTATCGCTCAGAAGTCTGCAAACACTGCTAAACTCCCAGAGCCTCTTAATATCATCACCTAAGACACATATACAGATGCTGAACATGGCAATATGACATTAAGAGCCATGCTTTTCCTGATGTGGGGTGGTTTTACAGTATTCTGCCGTCTAGAGGTCACAGGCGGCACTACAGTGTAGAAATTAACCCCTTGAAGCTCTAAGCCCCTACAAAAAGGTGTCACATAAGAAAAACTTAAAAATGCTATGAAGTCAAAAACCGTGTCTTCACATGAAAAAATGCGACTGCATGTGAAAATGTGGTCACGTATGGGCCTACACTTCAGTTCTTTGTTCCCATAACTACATAACTTACGTGTTAGTCTCATTACTGAGCAATTTATAGTAGTAACTGAGTATTATCAAATAATAAGCCTAGTGTTTCATTGCAGTCTCTGCTAATGCAGCAGCTGACCAAACCTCCCACAGATACCATTCATAGCAACTGTTGCTGAATTGGACAAGCTTTACAGAACGTATAAATATCACATTCAACCTAATGAGAAATTACAGCGCACAACTCAGTTATTACCACATTCTGCAAATTAAAAATGAGTTACTTATTTCAAACAATATTTATTTAGGATGAGAATTACGAGTCATACTTTTAGGATGGTGTATTTTGTTCTTGTAGTTGAGCTAAAGTTAGCATGGTGGTAAATTTTACAAGTTTGTCATTGTGGTAGTGTAGCATTTAAAAATGGAAACTCAACGTTATGTTGCAACTCTAAAGCATGTGTGAGACATAGATATCCAACATGCGCATTACACTTAGGAAGTGTCGTCAATAAGGTTATATTAAATTACACCTATTGTTAAATGTCCTTTTCTTTAAAATACATTACATTCGTGAGAGTTTTTTGTTTTGTGGAGAGATCTGATTTTTTTTTAATCTTTTTTTTAAGCATTTTACACTGGTATTATGCTAACATTATGTTAGCATTATGTTAATTTTATTAGCATTAAGGTAACAGAAATGCCCAGTCAGTTTCCTCCACTGAGTTTAATACTAATTAGCTCTAGCTTAAACAGTGACATTTGAAGCTTGTAAGACGTTTTGGGGTTGAACTCTTTCAGTGACTCCTTTAGTAAATAGTTCAACCCAAAGCCTAATTCTGAATATAACTGAAGGAGTCTGTTAGCCGTTAGCTTTCTGTCACGCTGGTTCTTAAACCAAATCTTACATTCCTACATAGGGGATGTTGCAAACTACAAACTTATTAAAATACCCAATTAAGTTCAAAATATAAGATTAGACTAGTAGGCAGATATCATATATCAAACAACTACACAAAATATTAAGTCACCAGTTACTCTTTTAACTTTTAAAGCAATGAAATAAACCTTTTACAAAGATAATTAAACATGAAATGCCTCACCACAACCCTTAAACTGGGTATTGTTGCAGCAACATGCGGCACATTTCAGTATTTTTATTAAACCTGCATTTTTCCAGGAAAAATATTGTCATGTCCAGAGAAACTGTTTAATGTAGAGCTCATAGATGGAGTATCAATACTGGGCCAAGTGCCTTCACATCACTACATACAGAATGATGTCATCAGCTATATAGGTCTACAGTATATATATCTATGCTCTAAACAAAGTGCGCAAGAATTTCTCATAGGTTAAATGAGGTTCTTGCCAATGTTGTGTGAAGCTTGTCTAACTGGCAACATTCACTATACAAAAGAAAACAAAAGAAAGATTTTTTGGCAGAGCATGAATAGGTCATTTGCATTTACATAATGATTTTAAAAGTGCTATTTATGCCATAAGTATATATAAAATTAGTCCTCTACTAAAAACATGGGCTGTAAAGCCTCTAAGAACCCTAAACTGCTAAGTCCCACAATTAACAGTTAACTAAAGAGCTTATTGTATTATGTTCTACCCTGACTTTTTTTGCCAGAAATGCTCAAACATGCACTTACAAACAAAATATTCAGTGTGCATTACTGCATCTTCAGCTTTGTTGGCTAAAATCAAAAGAAATCTGTTCACTTGTTTGGCTGTTGCTTATTGTGCATGAATTTCAGGTATGTGCATGAATCTGATGTCATCAGCTTCACACAAGCTAAAAATATTAGGTGAGACAGATATATGTGGGAGTCTGCCCATGAGTGTGTAAGATACTGTCTGATCTCCTGTTAAATCATAGAAAATTCACACTGAAGTCAAGTACCTTTCATCCAAAAACAGATACTACTCTTTATACAAATAAATGCAACATGAGCTTGGTTCACATAATGCACACTTCAAAAACTCACTGACAAAACATTTTAATTGTATAAATACAAAATGCACCTGATTCTGTACATCATTCTGTTAGACTGTGGTCAGTTTTGAGTTTTGAGCCTTCAGCCTTTAGATTCAATTCAAAAGTTTATTTCTTATGAAAAAAACAAAACATTTTGTTTGCAGGTGGATCCTTCTATAAAATATAAGCACAAACATAAAAAATAACATTTAAATATAAAGATAAAAAAGAAAAATAAAAAAAAACACAAATACAAAAAATAACAGTCATATAGACAGATAATAGCTTGTGCAGTTTGCAGTTGCTTCTCCTTGTTGGAGATTTGGCATGCTGTAAAGATCAACTCTGAGCATGCATCTATCTAATTGGCTCTCTTAACGCTGTAAAAATTTGGCAACTACATCACTTTGAAGCAGTGATAAAGCTACAGCATTTTTCACTTGCCAGGTGCTGATTTTATCTGTTCATAGGAGATAACTGCCTTCCCAAGACAGCAGTTGCTACAGGACTGTGGCTTCTTCCATAGCGCTCACCCACCTGTAAAACAACATGCAAAAAACAACAAAAGAATGTGTGATCATCATATTATATTGCTGATGTTGTGACAAAAGCTTATACATTTATAGGAAGCAAAAAAAGAAGCAAAAAATCAATCCTTAATGTATGTTAAAAATATATATATTCTTGGTAATTTTGTAAAATTTTATTGGTACAATCATCTTTAACATTTTCCACAAAATATTCACACACTGTAAAGGACAGCTGGTGTTTTTTAATTATATAAAAAATGGGAAAAATATATCAACAACTTGTAAATACAACAGTGTGATGTGCTAACTGCATGGAAATAAGAAATATTGACAATTTTGAGCCTCTGAAAAGTTTGTGCATGTGCCCCATGCCTCACCTCACTTCCCTTAGCACAGAGGTGTCAAACTCAACCACTAAAAGGGCCATTTTAAAAAATCTGAGGGCTAACTGTGTTTTTATTTCATTTTTACTTAACATTTTGCCATAACCCGAACAGGCCACTGTTTATTCAAAATATGCCAAAACTGCAACAGCAAAATAGGCACTGAATACTTATTCAAAAATAATTCTAAATGAAAATAAATTATTTCAGGGAGGTTTTTTTAAATTGCCTGTTTGCTTGAACTAGACACCAGACTTCTTTTTGTGTAACCGCTGGCCCTTAGACTGTTGTTGGGGGGAAGGGGGTCAGAACACGCACTATGTTGCAGTGCATGCTGGGAACTGTAGTGCATCTCAGGGTAAAACAGGCTAATAAGAATAGAAATTAAAATAATTTCACAGGCTGAATAGGACTGTGTCATGGGCCTGACTTGGCCCGCAGGCCTTGTGTTTGACACATGGGCCTTAGCAGTACCTGCCAAGGCACTGAAATATGCAAGTGTTCATAACCCTACTCTTCTTTTTGTTAAAGCTCTATAAGTACAACTCTTACTTTCAACATGTTGTTCTCTCTACTAGCATGCAGCAAGCTGTGCATATGAACGTAAGCAGATCAACTAGACGAAAATGTAACATTTGTTGCATCATGGCCGTCAAGGCAAAACTCTATGATGAACTGTTTTTGCCTTGTATAGGACAGGTTCGTTTGTGTGGTTGTGGAATAATGGAGACGTTCCAGTTTTAATTCTCAAGCTGAAAGATACAAGGAGAAGCCCTCAGCAAACGTAGAGGACACTGGATTACTTTCTACTTCGCCTTCATTTTCAAGTTGAAAGTTAGCACTTCAGCAGTCGAGAGAACATGACATCTTGTGCTGTGGTTTTGTTTAGACAACATTTGATAACTGCAGTTGTTATAACATAACAGCTAGAGTATTTCTTGACAGCCTGATTTTACCTCAGAAATACTGGATATATTATCGTCCATGTTTTTGCTGCTTTTTTCTTTCTAAGCCCGATTTAAGTTGTGGCAGCATCATCTAGCTCAATTCAATTAAAGCTGAAATTCTCATAGACTTAAAGTCCTTCTTACAGACTGTGACTGTGCTAAACCACTAAACATTTACACAGAGGGGCCCATTGGAAATGTGCGAAATGCCTTGCTGTTGGCAATGTGTCTTTAATTGTTTAATTCATATGTTATTGTTTAATAAGTGAAGCATGTCAATTAAGAATCTCTCCGTAAACTTTAAGATGACATGAAAGGTTATTTCCTGATGCCCTCCCCCTCCTCCTTATGGCACCCCTGAGAATGACATGCAACGTGTGTGTTTTACCTCTGTGCAGTGTGTGTGTCCTGAGCCTTGAATGTATAGTATAGTGTTGTTTTGTGGTACAGCTGAAACACACTGCTCTCTCCTTGACTCTCTGACCTTACTGAGAACCCCAACAGAGGAAGAGACTCACAGGAAACCCTGTCCTAAAGAGAGACAGCAAGAGAGAGAGAGAGAGAGAGAGAGATTTTATATTTGTTTTTTCCCTGAAAGACAGGTTGTCTGTGTATGTGTGTCTTACCTCAGGCTGTGGGTATGCATACAGCACTTTATCTTTGAGAAGGAACCACAGGTTCTTCCAGCTCCGCCTACTGTTACGACTCCTCTGTAGAGTTCCACTCATCTCCCCGTCTGACCTGGTCACCTACACCAATCCCACATCCATGCACCCAGGAAGCAGGTTAATTGTGGTCACTTCAAAAGACAATACTACCTATGTTTAACCCCTTAAGCCTTGAAATCAAGTGTCACCACTGTCATGCTATGCAGTGCACTTAATGCACTAAATGCTATAAGCTCTAGTCCACATTCCTTCTCCTTTAAATTTCAGTGAATCATCTGAATTATGAATAATGATACATACATACTATAAGTAAACTAAGATTTCTGCACACTGAATTGATGCTGGATGAAAGTAAGTTCACCACTAAACTTCTACATTATTATGTAACACCAGCTAGTGCCTATTGGCAAAGCATCTGAACCACAATTAGTGAAGGTTGCTGGTTTGTGTGGGGTAATTTGGTGATGTTGCCAACCTAATGATGTAACTGTTAGCTTGCATGTAGCAATATTTGTATTTCAACTCCTTTACAATCCAGTGATATTTGGAGGACAAACGGACAAAATTTGTCCACTTTACAGCATTTTTGTTTACCGCAGTGTAGACAAGAGGCAACCCCCCACAAAAACAGAGCTTTATATATTATATTATATTATAGCAGTTACTGAATCATAAGAAAATAATAAATTGTCTAATATTAACAGAATCAGACAGTGCAGTGTGTGTGCAAATGTGGGGGTTTACATGGTTGAAGGACATCTGGCCTTTGCGCCCCCTCCACAGACAGGTGGGATGGATGTTCTGGAAAACTGCAGACAGAGGCCGACTAGAGCTCTCCGTTGCCATGGCAACATCTCCGTCTGAAAAAATATATTCACTGAAAGGTCTACATCATCAAAAGTTTATTTTTTTCCCCAAACTATTGTTTGTTCCGTTGGCCATTTTCCAATTTGGTCATAGCCAGTTTCAGCTAAAGTAGGTCTCCCTGTATTACTGATTCAGGCAGTGTCTGTTGAGGATTAATGCTGCTGGCAGAATAGTTTTAACTACATGCTGTTGGTTATGGATGTGCTGTTTTTTATGACTGTCACAGTGTAGTGTTAGAATTCATCACAGTTTGAAGCATACCAGGCTTGCAAAGTTCACTGTAGCACTTATCGCACACTTTGGCTCGTCTGTTCTTCATATATTTTAGAGGAACTTTATTTCTGCAGCAGTCTCTGCACACAACCTGTGACCAAAGAGATGTAAACAAAATAAGTTTTTAAGGTTTCTGTGAGTCCTCAGAGTGTGCATGTCTGTGTGCCTCTATACTTACCTTTCCGCAGGCATGGCAGTGATGCCTTCGGTGTGTGAGGCTGAAGCGGACAGGGGCAGTTCATGCACACTGCTATCTGAGAAACGGACACCAGAGGTGGAGCATTCTCTCCAAGACACACCTCCGACTTCTCCCCAAAGAAGAAAAACGAAAGTTATTAAACGAGCCTCATTTACACTATGTGTTCAAAATTATGCAGATAGCCTTTCTATCAACTCAACTACTTTAAAGTGCACCTATTGCTGATACAGGTGTTCAATTAGCACACACAACTTGTATAATCTCTATAGAAAAGTACTGCTAATAGAAAGGGACACTCTGAAGCAGATGTACATGAGCCGAAGGTCACCATGCACTCTGCATTGGGTTGTGGATCTGTGTAGCTCCATCCAATACCTCTGGGATATGTTGGAGTGATGTTTGTGATCCAGAACTAACCATCTAACATCACTGATCTCACTAATGCTCTTGTGGCTGAATGCAATTAAATCCTAGCAGCTATGTTCCAACTTCTAGTGTAAAGCTTTCCTAGAAGAGCAGAAACTGATACTGCAGCAAAGGAGGGCCAAACTCCCTATTAATACCCTTGATTTCAGAAGAAACACTGAATGAACAGGTGTCTACAAACTTTTGGACATACAGAACCAGTTGACCAGACCCAAGACTAAGCAAAATTAAGGCTTAATCCATATATGGGAAACTAGACCTTGGGGTAGTGTCGCACTGATACGGGCACTTAAATTCAGTAAAAGTAGTCATCAGTAGAGAGTAAAAACACCATAAAGCAATTTCTGATGCACATGCATGCACGTTACTAAGTGACACTTGCATACCTGTACATGGAGCTTAAGCAACATGTCAGTGGTGTGGGATTATTTCACACTTGGAGACAAACAGTAGTAAAAGAAATGCTCATTGCAAAATCTGTAATGGCAGTATTTCAAGGGGAGGCACAACCAGCAAGGATTTACATACATCAGATTTAATTAGTCATTTAGAGATAAACCAATGCAAAGAGCACAGCTATATTTTGTAGCTCTGAAACCACTCAAATGTGAAGTTATTCAACCAGTAAATACCATTTATTCAAGTTCAGTATGCTTTATTTGTGACACAGAACACTGCTTTTACCAATACACAATGTGTAAAAAAGTTAATGGTATAAATGTCGCTAGGATTGATATTGTACTCTGTATCAGGAAGGGAAAAAGCAGTATTGGTGAATCCCTAGTGGTTAATCTTATGAAGTATCTAAGGTGGTTAGCAATTATGCACACCATAAACCTGCAGCAAAGCCATTTTGTTGGTTTGTCAGGCTTTTACAATGCAATATTTCAGTTTTGTAATTTTGGTCATTCTTTATCAAATCACCTAAAAAGCAGGTTTTGACAACACCCATCATCATTTTGAAGCTAGTGCATGAGAAGGCTTAAAGAGAGGTTAAAATCTTGTTGGAGAGTTTATAATATTTTACAACAATGTTTATCGGATGTAAAGAAAAATGCGAAGTGACATTTAAATATTGCATCTTCAGAGATACTGATAACTTTCTTCTTTTTATATATTTTGTCCGGTATGCCCTGCCTTTTATTGCTGTTCTCCAGCTAACACAAAGATACTTCTTCTTTTTGTGTGTGTGTCTGTATGAGTTTGAAGGTGAAAGAGGGAGAAATGGCAGGAGCTGAGCATTTTCTTAATGAAATATTAAACGGTTCTGTCAGTTTTTTCCATTTCAGGTATTTCATGTTTGAATACTGCAATATATATTACATTCTGATGTCTCATAATTCAGTCTCAGAAGTGATCACTTCTTTTTAACAACATTTGCCATTTGTAAGAATAACACTACACTCACTCCTTGGAACAAAAACAGTCACATTCCCCTTTTATGGCCGGTAGTAACTGTGCTGCTCCGATAACAAAAAGCCTATTGTAGTATCTACACCTGGCATTAAAATGCATGCACATTTGCTGTTAGTCAGTGGATCACACTTTTCCCTTGTATTACACAGTCGCCCCTCACCAGCACAGCACTGCCAGGTCCACAAAGGTGAGCGCTATTGACATTCCACATAGAATGCACTTAGTCTGGCCAAATTACATGTAGCTCTGGCATTAACTTAAATTGGTTTACAAATACAGAATGAGAAGTGAGATAAAAGCCTTTACAGGTCTAGCCAACAAAGAACAGAGCGGGTAGGTGCTAACTGGCCAAAAAACCGAAGCACTCCAACTGTTAAAATACAGGAACAAATGACAATTTTAGTGTTCTACAAGAACCATCTGTTATATTATTTGAGAAGGTTTTGCTTGTAAAACATCGCAAAATTATTCCAAATAATTATTTGGATTATATTCGATTATATTATAATAATTTGTTAAAACAGGTGTGAGGTTATAGTTGAGCCCCACATTTAAATCAAACATCAAATTACGTAGAGCTAAAGGAACACGCTGCACTGTTAGAAATAAAGGTACTGAGCAGGTATGTTTTACATTTATCAGGGTACAAACAATGTAAATGTACCCTTAAAGGTACAACAGTGGTTTTAGGGTCCAGTTGTGTACTTTAAATATGTTTTTCCCAGCAGAAAAATACATATTTGTATCTTTTCATAACTAATGCTTTAAAACAGAACAATAAAATAAAAAGCCTGGAGATGATGAAATGGGGTGTGTGGAGTCAATACAACTTAGAAAACATAATTTCAGTGGCCTAAAGGTACTGATATGTACCCCTGAGGGTACCACCCCAATGATGAGAGGGGTACTGCCTCAGTGAAAGTTTCAGAAAAACTTTTTTTTCTGAGAGCGTGGATAAACAAAATGGATGAGTTTTCACTGACTCCAGTGGAAATGTCTTATATTCCAGTTCAGTAAATCACTTAAAGTTTCACACACGTTTTGTGCAAAAACAACAAATAGTACACAGATAAAACTTTCAGTGGTGATTGTTTGAATGTCTCTAGAATGTTCAGTTGCAAATGCAATAAAACCACTGAACAAACCTTAACAAGCTCAAAACATCAGGCAGCTACTAGCACTCATAAAATCCTCTTATGCTGTGTGCTTCAGCCCAATAATATAAATCATCACTGAAGTTATTCTCCATTCTCCAGTTATTAGAGAGTCTCCTCACCTCTAAACAGCCTGTGGGGACTCCCAGTAATGAACCAAGGTCAGCTATCGCCCGATTCAGTGTAACAAACCAATCATCCCTCTCTATAGAAGAGCTGCAAACAGAAATAAAGACATAATCAGAGTCCATATAAAACAGCGGGATTATGTTAATCTGTGTGTGTGTTACTTACCTTGCTGACAGAGTGATACTGATATCTTTCACCTCAATCTTCAAGGCATTCTGAGCATTTTCTACAATAAGTTTAGTCACCTGTGATAAAGATAAATAAACCAATGTTTATTTATTTAATGCATAAATTTGAAAACTCCAGTTTTTTTTTTGCACTTTGTTGAAATCTCATAATGAAATGAACCAACAGAAATGGTCTAATATGACTTTCATCACAAGTTAAGAATGTTTTTTTTCCTTCTTCTGTAAAGTTAAAACTCTGGAGATGTAAGGTTATTAGGAAGAGAGAGAGATCAGTAAAAAGAGAGATAATTTGGATATATCAGTCTTAAATAAATGGAAATGGAATTAAAATGGAAATACATGAAAAATGTAGGATATGAGCCCTTTAAACATTACAAAAATTGCTAAATGGCTGCTAAGTGGCTTAGAAACCCTTGTATTACCTCCATTCCTGTCAGTGCTAAAGTGTTGATGAGTCTGTATTTGCCATCTTGTTGGGGGTATGTGTAAAGCATTATATCATTCATCTGCAGTAAAACACACAGAAGAGAGAGGCGACACATCAGCACACATAATAACACATTTACAGAAAATAAAACACAGATACATGACGCACAAGATTTAACAGTTTACAAGACTGAAAAATGTGACAATTCAATCAATTATCTGGATCCTTAATGTAGTGGTATGATTTCGCCACAAGAGGGCAGGAGAAATAGCATGTTTACAGCAGAGTTGTTCTGGCCAAATCCACTAAGACTAAATACATACAAAAATATGAAATTATTATTTAAAGGATTAAAGTCTAAGACACACACACACACACACACACACACACACACACACACTTGCATAGACATCAAGAAAGAGGAGTCCAAAAGTCTGAGACCACAAATGAAAATGTCTCTATTTTGCCTTCTTATCTAATTTCATACTATATATTTCATTGCAAATTATATTTTTAGTATAACAATTTGAGCGAAAATTAGAATCTTTGAAATTTTTAGTTCTTCTTCATTTTACTCATAACATTTTTCATAATTTTGTTTTATGAACTTAAACAAATTCACAACACTGTTGTTTATTTCCAGGTTTAAATGAAAAAACTCCAGATTTTTAATGTGGTCTCAGATTTTTGGCCCCCACTGTATATGTGCACCAAGGCTGCCTCCAATAACATCAGTGTTATGGACATTTGATAGCTGGTGGTTGACTGCAGCCTTACAACACTGTGATAAATCTTAATCTTAATCCATCTGAATAACTTTATAAAGATTAATCCACTCAGTACATCTTATGAAATGCTGAGTGAGAGCAGTTATAGAAAAACACTGTAATGTTCTGGAATCTCAAGATGAGAGATCTGGGCTTAGCTGTGCTGCCTCACTGTCTGCTGGTCCGTCACAATGTAAAGGCTATTTCTCACTCTATGTCATTCTCTGACTGGCTGTAAGATTTCATTATTATTCAGAAAAACCATATAAGGTTTGTGTGCTTTTAAAAGCAGGTGTAAGTACCGATCTCTCTCTCTGCCTCACTCTCTCTCTATCTGTCTCTCTCTCACATGCACACACACACACGCGCGCACACACCCACACACAAACACACACTACAGAAGGTTGCACAAAAACATCCTGTCAGGAAATCCAACGCTAAAAAAAAACAAGGTCATCACTGTAAGTGTGGGAAAAACATGGAGACAGACAATAGGGCTGAATAAAAGATCCTTCATTGACTAATATTTAGTCATTTATTTTATTGACTAAAATAACAGAGAGAAGTGAAACACATTTATCTGGGTGAAAAATACTGTGACATACCAAGAACAGGTGGCGGGGCTGTTTGCACTTCCTGCTGACCTTCATCAATGTCCCTTCTTTCACAAACATCTACAGAGAGTCCACACATGCAGGGTTAAACCACTGATATTGATGGGCTGGTAGAAGAGTGTAATCAGTGATATGAATGGCTGGTTGGCATGATGTTCTCACCCTTCCAGATTGTAGTAAATTCTTCAAGCCTAAAACACTGTGCTCAATATGAACCAGACGCAAAAGAGCCACCTGAAACACAACAAAACACTTACAAACACATACATACATATATACTCATATATACTACTTATAATACTACTAATCTTAGAAATAATTCAATTAATCAAGTAAACAAAGTCATTCAGAGTGGCTTTAAGTGAAAAGCTCCATTCTAGAGAAACGTACAGAATCAGTTCAGGAGTGGCGAAATGAATCAGATTTCTGAAGTCTTTAATGCCTCTAAAAGCTCCCTCACAGAAAGATATTACAAGAAATTCTGACAAATAATCTGTCTGATGCCGGAGACATTATTTTATGATAATTTTGCGACACTTAATTCTTAAAATCTTTTCACAGCAGAGCAGTACATGCAGCGTGGAACAAAATAGTCCCAAAGGAAAATTATCACAAATTTAGCACTATTAACATTGCACATAAAAACTCAGAACGTGTAGGTCGACTAGTTGTTTTGGATAGTAAATAAAATGGCTATGTTTCTGTTCTAGATATCATAACCCCTGGTTCCCATCACCACCACTGTAAAGAAGTTCAAGTCAAGTTTCTCTGCAATATTAAACCATTTCACATCAAACCACTCTGAATGACTCAGATTTTGCAGAATACTTGAAATATCTGTGGAATCAGTGCATAACTCACTCCATTCTTGAGCTTCTCATTTGCCTGATCAGCTACATCTGAGACCACTGCCAAAACATCTGAGACAAAGCATGAGAGAGAAAAAAAGAAACAGGATTAGGTTCACATTAACCACAAAGATGATACACACCATACGACACACACACACACACACACACACGTATAGACACAAAGACCAGGCCTGATGATAAAATTAAACTCTATCAGGTTCGACAGCGAGAACTGAACATGGATGTTAAGGTGAAAGGTTACATGCCTGGAAGGGAATCTGAGATATATGGACAAAAATACTGCTGACCTATCAGTCACACAGCCTGAGAGATAAGAGTCCTAACAGCCTCCACATGAATTATACATGAGAGAGATAAGAGCCAAAATCGTTACCACAAGAATAATAGACACAGACTTAATCGACAAGCCTGAGTGACTAAAAACCCCAGAGAAACCTCTATGATGTTATAAAGCACACCAGTCTCTTTAACATTTTTAACATTAGACAGTGAACATTTCTGATTTATTTACCTTTTATTTTGGCTATAGACCAAAATGGTCTTCATAAACTTACAGTCATATGCAAAAGTTTGGGCAACACTTGTCAGGTTACACAAAATACAGGGAAAAAAATCCATAAAATGTGACTTGTGTAAAAGTTAGGGCACATTTTATATTTTATGTTCTTTATGTTACTTAATTTATATTTTATATTAGTCTCTATTTTTACTAATATGCTAAACTCAGCAAATAAATAGAAATTATGCACTAAAATGTCATATTTAAGTTTGTTCCCTGTAGAGCATGTGTTAACATATTTTGACATAATCAACAAAATGTAATTTGACTGGAGTGTTCAAAAATTTGCATGAGACTGTAAATGTAGGGCTGAAAGATGAATCATTTTTACATCAAAATTGCAATTTAAAAGAGTGTGATTTTCATTTGCAAGAGCTACATTTTTATAGCATACATCATTAACGGTGTACATCAGTTAGACCAATCAGAAGCAAACAAACACCCATGTGTCGTGTACATAACATCACAATCAGAACTAGCAGTCTAACACAGTACTCCCAGCTTTCAGGCCTTAAATCAGAAAAAGGGACAGGCTGGTTTTCTTGGCCAACAGGCCTGAAGCTTAATTTATAGGAAATAATTGCAAAATAAATTGACAGTCACAATATTGATGAGAATCACAATGTTCAGCCCTACTTAGATGAAAGCTAAAATGGCTTCATCAACACTGATGAAATGTTAAAGCTGCATTATGTATGATTTGGGGATTTAATGAATTATCTGCTATTGTCATCATATCTTCATCAGAACAAAACTGATTTTGCATTTGAGATCTAAACATCGAGGTGGGCCTTCCTTTTGACTCTGTGCATGTGACGTTAATACACAAAGACGTGGAACAGAAATTTCCTGCCAAATTCGACACAACGTCTTTGTCTTTTAAATTGTTATTTCAGGTGTTAAAGGGTGACTCACAGCAGAGTACACACATCATATTTTAGTGTGCTATTTTTTTCTCCTGACTCAGCAACGCTAGTTCTTTCAATTTTAACAACAACAACAAAAAAACGTACATAGTTGAACTAATTAATAATTAATTAATTAGCTTCTTATAAGGCAATGGGTCTCCTGGCGGACCCAGAGTTTTATTGCACACTTCTATAACAGAAGAGCTCAACCAGTTTGCATTGAAGTCCCTGGAGTTACTGAATAATAAGTCTTAGTATGTAATAAGCCTGGGATTTGAAGGGGTTAAGGAACAAAATGGCTCCCTAGTATCTTAAACACAAAGAACAGTTCATAAAGAGGACTAAGATATGCTAGTCACCAACCTTTGGTATCCTTGTACTCGCTGGTGTCTGGTGAAAGATTATTCAGGTAATCTGATGAAGACAAATGGAGAGGTGTGTTGGAAACAAAATAAACAAATTTAAATAATGGACAGATATTACAGTAAAGCATGAACAATACAATAACATTCTAAAGAAGAAAAAACATTTTAGTGAATTTGAGAATCAATCTGGGAAATTTGGGGGATGAAGAACACATGTAGGTGTATAATGGAAGGGTAAACAGAATATGTAAATATAAATATTTTAGTGTAGGTTCAGGCTGGCATATGGTGGGTCAGTTTCCATCCTGAATGTTTTGCTGGTGGTCAGTTATTTCTAACTGATGTGGAATGCGTGTATATGCACACTTATCAGTGGATGGGTTTAATATTTTACCTGTTAGCAACATGCGGTACTGTAGAACTCTCACTACCACCTGCAGCAACTGCTGTTTCAGAGAGGCCAGGTCCAACTGCTAAGAGATGGAGATAATGTGAAGCAAACAAGAGCAATGGACACCATTGGGCACTTCTGGAACTCATACCTAAAGCTAAAATGTTTTGCGGTCTATGTATCACCCGTTAACCACAGATTAGATTTCTTATCTTATTAGCTTGTCCTTAAAATTTCAAGTGTGATTTTATATATTAATCACTGTGATAGAACCAGTTACTGTCTTTTATGAATAGAGCACAGTTCTTTACTGCAAGCTATCAGAAGATGTTAGTATTATTCTGGCAGAATCTATTGTCTAACTGTGAAAAAACACAAATATGTAAAATGTCATCATAAGACCCATGTGGGCTGCATCTAAGACACACACTGGTAACTGCTGCTGTTGCTAGCATTATACACAGCATAAATACATTTCTAATGATTAAACTGCAGGATCAGGTCAGTTTCTGTGCAAAGCTTTGCTGTGGTGTTTGTTTATTAGGTCTTTGGATTATGCAGGGGCTAAAACAAATGATACTTATTAACTAACTCCAAAAACGGTGGATCATTTTTTATCCATATTTTTGCTTGGAATCATCAGAGCACAGTACTATTGTTCTTGTCACTTTGTATTTCATATTTGTACACATATTAGAGAGAAGAAGCAGCTGATAAAAAACAAAGGAAAGGTATGAAACCAATTATTCTTTTTCCATAGGCAGTCGAACTCTATGGGACAAAACAGGGTTAAAGCACAGCAGTAAACACAGCACAATCACTGTTGCTGGATTAGCATGCTAGAAATACTTGGTATGGTCTTAGAAGTAGAGAAGTAGATATCAATACCATATTTTTTTATGGAAGCATCTCAATAGCAAAATCAAAAGGAAAATGTAATATGTACAAATTTACAATTCTCACATATGTATATGCAATGTTGACCTGAAAATGAAATTTCAAATTCAATACTGCCATTTTAATTTGCCATTCTGGTACATTAGCATTGACATCTCATTTACACAAAGATTTTGATGCTTTATATGTAGTTTCATGTAACTTAATGTTTTTTTCCAGAACTGCATGCTTTTCATTTGATTATACATTAATGTTGTCAAAACGATAATTAAAATGTAATTTACTATATACACATTTGCACTGTCTAATAAGGCATTCAAAATTGCATTATCAAAGAGAACACCAAGCTAAGAAGATGGCAAAATTCAAATATAATCCCCGTCTCTTGTCTTTGCAATTAGATCTTCTTGCCTCCTGTACTCATTCTGCAGCAAAATGGCTTTGAAAACATATTTGATCTGACTTCCACCTTTCAATCATCCCATCAGGGTGGAGCTCACAGCAAAATGGCAGGAATCTGAATTTTTGACTCATCATTTGAATTGAGCCCAACACTGCACATACGGGTGGGACATTTACATTTAAAACATCTACATTTTACAAATTACATTTGGATTTACTTACTGATATGCTTTGAAATAGGCTATTTTTAATGGAAGCACTTAATTTAAGATAATCTAAAAGCAGGCCATCATGCTCAAACCACTCAAACACTACAAACTCTACTACCCAACAGGATGAAATATTGGGTTATTTCCCAGTACTGATACCTGGTAACAGATCAGTGCCATCTCTTGTGTGGAGGCACAAAAATAAATGTGTTTCCAAATAATACGGAAGACAGGGAATGGGACAGAATAGGTGCTGATCAAATTCATCACAATAGTCAGCAGCCGCTCCTTTAAGCTTTACCACTGCTCACAGCTCCACTCCAATTACTCATATACTCTCACTCTACTGGAATAATCAGCAGGGCAGGGTGCTGGCAGCGTGTGATTAAAAGGGCAGAAGAAATCAAGATGTGTGTATGATATCTCACTGTGTTCTCCATCTGCTCTAGAGACTTCATATTGCTGTCATGGTGACTGATGAAGGAGGAAAAAACTGAAAACTCCATCTTTTTGGCCAGGATGATGTCAGCAATCCCCTCCTTCTGATCCCTGAAAAGCAGAGATAGCAGTAGAGTGGTTAGAAAGCTAAATGAGAGAGCTTGATGGATGGATGAATAGATGGTATGTGTGAATATTTTACTTGCTAATGCAGTAAAAGTGTGTTTTACCACTCCTTGATGCGATTTTCCAGTTGGGTATGGAGGTTTTGGTGGAGGCTACAAATTGCAGGCAAATCACTCCACAGTTTCACCAGCCTCTCATCTGCATCTACAGTCTGTGGTTCCAAAAAACACAGGCAAACTATGTCATTTTTGAACAAGGCCATGGTGATCAGGCATTTTTTTTTGTTTTAAAGGTAAAACACAGAAGGACGAAGATGATGTAGCTCCTCTTGGTGCCATGTTTTGCCATATCTTTTAATTATATAAGTGTCTGAAATGTAATGTAGGCTTTAAGACACATTTAAGATACACACACCCAGAGATACATTACATACCTCACTCAGAAGCTTTAAAGTCTTTACATGCCTTGAAGAGAAAGAAAAAAGGATGGAGAGACATGATAATCATATTCAGTGACAATTTCAGAGTTTAACAAGTTCCACTAGGTTTGACAATTTCCATCAAATGCCCTAGTTAGGCATATTTAATAACCAAATTATTAAGACAGTATTAAGTTACTTTACTTCACAATAACACTTTAAAAAATCAAACAATTTTTCTTGTTCATTACATTATATACTATTTAAGACTTTTAAAATAGGTGTATTTCAAAAGTCTTAAATAATTTATTAGTGACGTGGCTAAAAATGTCCAAAACTATGCACAAAAAATAACCATTAATAATTATTAACTACTTAATACCCATTAATAATTAATAGACAAAACAATGCTTTTTAAGACTAAACTCCAAAATATAATTAAACCATCTACATGACACCCACTGTGCCTCGCTGTCCAGCAGCTCTTTTGCACTGTAAAATGCTCTGGAACAAGTGACAGTCTGCAGAGAAAAGAAAAGGCATTGGTGGATAAAATACATTACCACATACACATACGCACACAGACGAGCACAAGCACCCACTAATGGCTTACCAGTCTTTCCCAGGCCTTTTTCTCCTCCTTATTTGTACAAGCCACTCCTACAGACACACCCACTGATCCATCTGACCTCACAGCAGGAGAGCAGATAGTATAGGCACTAAGAACAGAAAACCCCGTCAAAACACAAGCGCACAGCTTGAATATCCCATATAACCCATATAACAAATTCACACATACACATTTACTGTAGCACACTATTCAGTTGTATGCAAAAGTCTGAACTCCCTGGTTTGCTGATTTTAAGTGAAAATAAGTTAATACAAATACAAAATATAAAATGTGCACAGGCCACTATTCATGTTTTATCTTTCAAAATAATTTGAAATTCAGAAAATAAACAGTAATTGTGCATTAACATGTGCAGAAGTGTGTTCTCTGTAGAGGATGTGCACTTATTTTCACACTGAAAAACAGAACGTCATTTGAACTGGAGTACCCAAAGATTTGCATACAACTGCATTCTGCACTTTTTTTCACTGTGCAAAACCTCTTAAGTGTTTGTAATTAGTAATGTTCATGTAAATATGCAGAATTAATCTGAACTTAGTGGTGGAAATAAAAAAGTGGGTGAAATAGCAAAGAAGTCTACAGGGGGTAAACATCACAGGATATAAATGTATACTTCTGAGATTAAAACAGCAGGAATTTTAATCTTGCGCTGACCAATCACAGCACCAGACGGGTGTTTCTATGGATGTTATGATGAAGTGTCAGTCAAAGAAAGTCAATTACTTTTGGCCAAAATAATGTAAGCCAATCTTTACTCAATCAAGGCTGCTTGCACCTTAAATCAGCATGCATTTAACATGGCAACAGAAGGAAAAGGAATCAGAAAATCCATATTTGTTGATGTGCTTTGTATGCAGGAAATTAAATCTGATCTCATCTGGTCACACTAAGAATGCATTTTAGTGAAAAGTGTTAATGAACTCCAGCCAAAGTGCGTCCAGATATGATCTGGACAAAAACACATGCTAATGCAAGGAGTAAAAAGCCTCACTGATTTACCACTACATTTTTAACATATTGCATGGAATATCACAACTGCAATATGTGGCAATATAATCTCAATATCACAATTTGGTCCATTGCATGCAGCCCTACACTGAGCCGACCTCAACAACAATATTTCATATCTTTTAAGTTTGGAAAAAACACATGAACAGAGATTGTACCTCTCCGTCTCTTGCTCAGATGACTGGCTTTTGCTCTGAAAGCCTGGCAGACTGCTCATATCCACATAACCATCCGTGTCATTGGCTGAACTCTGATTTCGCTGGTTCTGATTGCAAGGATTTAAGAGGCGGAGTTGCACATTCTCATAGTGTGGACTTGGGTTTAAAACATTCTCGTACACTGACGAGTCAACATTGGGGGAAGAGAAAGAGCGAGGTTTAGAAAAGGGGAGGGGCTTGATAAAGGGGGAATGAAGGAAGTCATCTATGTCCCAGGAACTGGGAATAGCAGACACTATGTTGTTACTGAGAGGTGTGCTTAGGCCATGCTTCTGCTTATTCTTCTGATAAAGGAAGGAAGATGGGGATGATGGCAAGGAACAATCATGTGCCCTGTGTAGCTCAGAGCTGCCCATATTTTGCCTGATTAAATTCAGCCTCTTGCAAGAGCCTTGTGGACTTGATTCTGAAGAGGATCTGGAGGAGACTGAGCGATTATCTGTTAAGCTCCGTCTTTCGGATTTCCTCAGAAACCGCAGAGGCAAGAAGTAACGTTTGAAGCCAAAGTCAAGTTTCCTGCATGAGGCAGACACATCGGTTGGCAGAGCTGGTGTACTTTTCCTAATTGGCCGCTTTGTGATTGATGACAGCTCAAATGGGGGTGGTATGTCTACCGGAGTAATGCCTAGCTCACCAGGAGGACAAGGACTTCCTGGTGAGAGACATCCTAATGAGCCAGTGAGAGCTGGCAAGCTATCGCCAAGAAAATTATGACTAGTGTAGTAGGACTGAGGGTGTAGCATCAAGCGCTCCTTTCCTGATACTGTGGAGCTCATGGGGTCCAGTCTATTAGAGGGTGGTTCCATGGATATGGAACGAGTCATTAAATACTTCCTGGTATGCAGGAAGCCTTTGGTTTGGAATTTTGGCTCAGTTTCCTCATACACATGCTCTTCTGTGTGAGCTACAGGGCTCTCTGTAGCCATGATTGACTGATCCTCTTGGACATTTGATCTTACTACCTCTAGTTCATCAGGCTGCATCTGATGTGACGTTTGGTCTTGAGGCTGTAGTGGTGAAGAGACACATGGAAGACCAAGTTCAAAAGTTGTATTGAAGTCACTTTCTTTGGACATGGACACTGCAGTACGTTCAGTTTCTGGCTCAGCTTTATCTCGATCACGCCAGTAGCTGAGAATAGTTTCACTTCTTCCCGCTTCATCAAAAGTCACTTCAGACTCAGATGAGCAGACTGAAGAGAAGGAGGAAGAAAGCTGATGAGAGGACTCTGAGAGAATTCCAGCTTCTCTCTCTGACCTTGGATAAACCGTGGAATCTGAACGCGGAGAATCCTGAGAAGTTCCAGAAGGCAAATCCTGAGAAGAATTCCTAAGAAACTGGGAACCATTTTCACTTGGCTCCTCTCTATCTCTTTCCTCTTCACCACCTTCTTCCCCAAAGGCAGACAATGACCCACCTGAACTTTCTGAACCCTCTTCCACAGAGAGCATCACAGTATCTCCAGGATCACCCACCTCCTCTAACTCTAAAGTCTGAGATGGTTCAATCGGCTCAAACAGATCACACTCAGAGAGTCCATCTGCATCTGCCAATGCCTCTCCTGCATCGCACATGTCTGGGTACATGGTCACTGTGTCGATTCTGTCTGGGCACAACTCATCCGTGTCAATTCCATTTGAGTAAATGTGATTTGGATACAATCCATCTGAAAAAATTTCATCACTGAAAATTCCATCAGTATACGTTCTGTCAGACGATGTCACAGACGCCTGAGTTTTGTTTCTGTTCAGTCCATCTTTGTGCGCCATTTGATCGTAAAGTGTGCGTGGAGTTGACCGCACTGCAAAGCGAACGTCAACAGGAGTCAAAAGTGATCCTGTTTTACCATCCCTAACCACTTCCCACCCTTCCTCCCCTTCCTCTTCTCTATGCAGCTGTCTTGCCACTCCTTGCACTTCCTCATCACTGCAGGAGTCAGAGAGAAGTTCCAGTGAGCCCTCACCCTCCTCAGAGTCAAATACCTCCCCCTGATGTACACCCACTTCCCAGTCTAACGCACTGCCTTGTGCCAGCTCCTCCCCACAGCCTAACTCCTCCTCCTGTTCCAGTGCACTGTTCCGTTCTCTCTTATTTGCTTCTGTAAACTCCTCCCATTGCATCGATCTTTCTTTATGTTCTACATCATTCCATGTTTCTGACTCTTCCCTTTTTTGTTCTATGTTGTCCTTCTGTCTTGATTCCTCCCACTGGCCAAGTACCTCTTTCCTACAGATTTTCTCAGTGTGCTGCTCTGAATTAGCCGGCCTCAGGTTTCTATTACTGTGTTTCCTCAGGTAATTATTTGAGCAGTGAAACTGTTTGGAGATTGAGTTTGGTTTGGGGGCAATAGTTGGTTTACATTCCTGGTAATGACAGCACTTTCCATGCATTGGATCAAGCTGCCCCTTAGAAAGACATACATGGATCTGTGATCTGGGATTCAAGTAATGTTCCTGCAGTTCTGAAACACAAAATACATTTGAATTGAACAACATTCACATACATACTTACACAAAGAATAATGCTGCCATAGTTTCACCAATAGCTAAAGTTTATGGCCCAAAGGCATGTGATAGTTTCTTCACACAAGGAAAAGTAATTTTGGAAGGTCAGTTATTTCATTACTGATCACAAATTAAATTGCAATCAGTGAAGTAATTTATTGCCACATGGTCGTCTTACATCTACTTTCCGGTGCTTTTAAGTAGTTTTCCCATATAACAAAGTTAAAATAGGCTTGCTGAATTTCCGTCCACTGAAAGGCTGGAGGTCACACTCATTGTGAACGTGCCCTATTTAAACATTTTTTTTCTCTTGACATTTTCTCTCACACTGAGGCCCTTCCTAAAGAAACCTATTAGCAACAAGAGCAGTGTACTAATCTTTAGAGTCTTTCGCATGCACTCTTAGGCTGAATACCAAGACTATATAAAACAGGTCACATAAATGCTGTCTTATTCCAAAGGCTGCCAATTCCTTTATTTCTGACTAAAACTGGACTTGAAAGTGTACACCTTTACCATATGACCTGCACAATTTATTGCACGAAAAAGCTCAAATCTCAGTATCCTCTCTTATACTTAACTTAGCCTGTATTAGCAAATGTCACATGAATGAAAATGTATTAGTGGTACAAGAATATTCATCATTTTTAAAGCTATGTGGAAAAAAAATCATACCTGAAGCAGGCATTCATACCACACTTCAAAAAGATAGTTCTTCAAGGGTTCTTTAGTAAAGACAATGGTTCTATTTTTTCTATTTTTAATTTTATATGCAACCATTTCATGTTTAAATGGTTCTTTGTGTGGTCAAATGGTTCTTGTGATTATTGGAGAATATGTTGTATATGGTTCTATATACAAAGTTTTTGAAAACAGTTCTAAACCACACCAAAAACGTTTTTTAGAAAGGTTTCATATAGAATCATATACAACTCAATTATTATGAAGTGTGTAGCTGCAATATATAATACATACATTAGGTAACACATATACAAAACAATAATAATAATAATAAAATGCAAAAAAACACCATTTGTTTAAAACAGCTCACCTGCGCTCATTTTGGCACATGGTCTGTGTATCTTTCTTCCAGCGCTACTCCAGATTAAGGCTCAGGATGCAGCAACTCCGTTGTTTAGGTTCTAAAGTCCCTGCAGCTCAGAGGGTCTCTGTTCCTCATGGACTAAATCAGGGAACTGTGTGAAGCTCGAGCGCTGAGCGCGCGATGGGCGGGGCCTCGTCTCTCCCTCGCGCGGCACTTCCTGAGGAAAAGCGTCCAGATAAGTTTCACAAAAATAGAGGCAGAACAAACCCGCTCTGAAAACTGGCTCCGCGCTTCTACAGCGTCTGATTTTTGCGTTTCAGCGATGTTAAAATAATGCTAATGTCAGTCAAATTGAACAGAAAAAAATCATAAGAAAGGAAAGAGAATCTGACAGATATCTAGCGCAATATTACAGAAATTTTAACATTTATTTCGTAAGTTCAGACAATGACTACATTACATAGGGCTGAGCTATGTCTCGTCTACACCAGTATATCGTGGCATGTTCAAGAAATGTTGTTGACTTATTAATTCTACGTCAATTTTTCTACAGCATTTTTCATTTGGTTATTCTGTAAGGACTCTTATTGTGAAGGCGGGGCTAGCCCGCGGGCTATGTTTATGGCTGCTTCCAAAACCGCATACTACCACATTAGTATGTCAAAATAGTACACCACCAATAGAAGTCCATCATTAGTGCAGTCTGTGTAGTATAGTAGTATGTGGTTTTAGACGCAGCTTATGGCTACATAATCGAAATAGCCTCCTACATACTGCTTGTGTACTGTTTGCGTCCAAAGTAGTAAGTAGTATGCAGTATTTGACTAACATGAATTTTGCCAGTACACCAAAAATACCCAGAAAACCCAGAAACTTCATCCCAAAATGCAATGCGGTCATTTCAGGTGGACGTAACCACTGACGTAACCGGCAAATTTTTTTGACAGCCCTAGATTCAGCCTTTCCATACATTAATAATGGCAAAATTAAGAAATTTGTTCAAATGCCACTTCACTAAGTGAAACACTGAAGCCACACCAGCTCTCTATGCTGGTCTTGAGGTGGGTTTGCTTACTTCATCTATTTAATAAAGTTAACTACTTTACAGCGTAGATAACATGGTTAAGACAGTAACTTAGGATGATAAAGTTGGTCTCAGCCACTGGCTTTTCAGACTCCTGTGTGGAGTCATGCAGCTTATTATTCAGTCAAACTAGCTCATACTACCAACTATGACTGTAATGAAAATGAAATGACTCGCCTTTTAATAAACGTAGGAAAACAGATTTGCAAGCCACAAAGTTTTATCACACAAAAGAACCCAAACACTGATATTTTTTAAAGTTTATTTGTGGCTTTAAGGATGAGAAGAAAACACCATCCTGCCCTCTGTCATTGTATGGGTTGTCTTTTAAAGTCACCCAGGCCCATCTCTTGACCAAAGCATAAATGTACGTACTGAAAAGCAGCTACCAACTATTGCCAAGCAGTGATCGCAGGGCTGAGGAAAATAGGGCAGGTGCTGAGATGGTCTGATTGGCTCAGTCCCGGATGTTGGCAGTCTAGTCACGTCCCTGTCCTGTAGAACAGCACAGGTCTTGTGTCATATACTGGTTACTGTTCAGTATACTACTGATGAAGAGTAGCATGCACTATAGAGTATATACTATATACTATAGCAGTATGTAGTATACAGTACACAATGTTATTTCGAATACAGCATATTGCTGCGTCTAAAACCGCTTAATACAAACACTAAAAAGGATGTTAAAATTTGTACACCACCAACAGAAGTCCATTCGAGTAGTACATGTAGTAGGCCTATAGTAGCATGTGGTTTTGGAGGCAGCTGAAGTGTAGCCCAGATCAGGAAGAACTGAAGTCAGTCTAGTGCGGATGGCTAAAAGAGTGAGATTTTGCAATGTTTAGAGCAAACTGTTAGAGAAAACTGAGCTTATGATTAATAAACAGTACAACTAGTGCAGAAGCTGTGTCTCTTTCAATAGCAGTGAACCCTACAGTGTACTGATATACTGTGATACTGAATGATGTACTGCTCCTAAATTACCTTTGTCCCTTTTGCCAAACGCTTTGGTTTTTGTTTTGTGTGCTTTACTCATGGTATCCAGGACCCAATGTATATAATTTACTGAGTGCTTCAGATTCTAAACGAACAGCTTCAAATCCATTAAATTAATAGTAGGTTTTCTTTCTCAAAATCTGCTTTCTCTCTGGTTAGTACTATGTAAAGTTGCCTGTGGTGCAATTTTAGGAGAAAGTGAAATCTATCAAGGTTTGTGTTTGATGAGCAGTGCTCAAGAAGAATGTTCTCTTTAACTGTTTTAAGGCTGAAGGCTAACTGAAATGGCATCTGATACCATGAGTTATTTGGAAAATATCATGACATTGAATTTACCAGTATTGCCCAGCCCTGTTGTACGCACATATTATAGATTGCTATAAGACAGTACTACATATAATACGGAGGAAAAACATATACTAGAAGTATATTATACAGCTGGTATACAGCTGATAGAGAAATCTACAGTATTATTGTAGATACTTTTTGTATGGGAAATTATAGAATGTTATCATATTGCATCCATTTATACAGTCACACATATATGAAAGTGTATTTTAAATAGACAGTGGACACTTTTGAAGTTCGTAAACAGTAACAGTTCTTCTAGTTCTGCTCTATAGCCTCAGCAGAAAGCAGGCACTACCCAGACCTTACTACTGTGTGTGAATGTGTGTGTCTGTCTGGTAATTTGTTTTTCTTTTCTTCTGTGAACTAGTACAGTAGGCCTGTTGACCAGTGACCAAATGTCTTTTTAAGCCTTTTTTAAGCCATGCTTTCTATGAAATTATCTCCTAAGGATTTGCTTACTGAACTTTCGGTCACACTCACTCGTGCACGCACACAGACACACACAAACACACACACAGGCTCTGATTAGGGCACTGCAAGTATAGTTCAAGGGATTCCTCTCTCATGATGAAAATACTTGTTCGCCAACTCTCTTTGCCTCGTTTCTACAACAGATTTACATACAAGAATACCTCAATTCTGTTATGTAAATTATAGTTGGAATAAGAGCTGCTCCACAGCATGCACAGGGTGCCTTTCATAGTACAATAGTAGTAAACCAGGTTGTGAACTTGTTCTGATGCCCTAATAAAATATCCTTCCTTCTGTACAGTACTTTATTACTGTAGCCTGAGTCCAAAGAGGGGGAGCAGAAAATGATTGTGTATGTGCAGGAGGGGGGTGGGGGAGGGGTGTATTTTCCTTTACTCCTGATAGATTTCAAATTATTTAAATAAAAAAAAAAGATATGCAGAACCAGAACATGGGGTTTTAGTTAATGAAAATGCAAAACACTGATGACTTGTTACTATAAAAAATAAGCCAGATGTGTATGACATTACTGTGACAGGATATAGATAAATCAAAGCATGTCTGGCCTAGTCTGAGCATTCTTCTTGTTATGCATGCCAAAAATGGCTGTCCTGTCTGACATTTGGGAAACAACAAATTCTAGCGCTGACATACCGGCCTACCTGGCAGAATTCATGGCAAAATTAGTCCACAGCAAAGTCCCAATTCAATTTCAATTCAAAACACAGTCTGAACACTGGCTGTGTTAAAATAGTGTATTTGTGTATGTGTAAGAGACTCTTATGTATGAGTATCTACCTGTTCGGACCTCTAATGCTCTTTTACTTTTAGCAGTAGTTTTCAAATGTCTCTTGTCATCACCTGTGCTCTGAGATTTATCTTGAGATGTGTATACTTAGAGTGCTCGTCTGCAATAAATCAACATGTGCCAGCTTTATTTTACATTGGGGTTTATCTCTTTAATTTAATTGCTGTCCTGTTGCCCTTACGTTCTGCTACACTGAAGCAAATATCCATCCATCATCTGGGAAAAGAAAAAGGGAAGGAGGGGGAGTTGGAGTCTGACTGTCTGTGTGTGTGTGTGTGTTTATGAACCTGTAACTGTGCTGACTCACTCAAGTTTGTAGTCATCATGAAGGGTGGAACCTTTAATGAAGTCACCCGGTGCTTTTTCAGCCTGTTTCATGAGATCAGCTTCACTGATGCCCTATCCATTCACCATAAAGACCCTCATACACCAACTTGCCACCAACAAACATCTATAACACACACCCAAATGCATTTACAGACACAGAAACATGCAGATACAAGGTAACGATACACATATTTTTGGGTTGAATATGATTTTCTGAGGTCAAGATTTAACACAAATTTTGATATTTTGTGTTGAGAACACATAAAACAATTAAACTAATCACAACAAATCATTTTGTGTACTTAATTAGGATTAATCACATGTTTAAACATAACTATATGCTAAAATTTGTCTTTAAAACTTTCAATAATTCAGTAATATTATTTTCATCATGTGAACATATTAACCTGAACAGGAAAATCACATGAATTCCACAGCAATTCTCCGACATCCAGTGATGCAACAGTAGCAGCATGTTCCAAACGATCGTGCATCATATCAACTTGATACAACTGTAGCCCTCTCGCTCTTCTTCTGATTCTTACAGCTTGTGTATTCTTGCTACAGTGGAGGATCTCAAGGCTCACTTTGCTGAAAGTAACGCTTTAAAAGCGCCTTGAACACATTTGAAGCTGCATTTGAATGAGAGGACTACAATCACAGATTCCCTCACAGCCCACGAGCAGCTGGGTTTCAGCCAGCATTACTACTGATAGTCCAAAGGGTCAAACTAGAAAATATGTCAACAGCATAAAAAAGTGGCATCAATCATTTTTCATGTTACAAATCTTATTTCAATGTTTCAGATTCTACAGAACACTAAATGATAAGTTCTCAAACAGAACTTTTTCAATGCCATTTTTCAAGTGTCAATATACCAGTGTCCATGCCACCCTCTAACAAAAAAAGCCCCAACCCCTTCAGGAAGAAGCTCAGTCAAGTGTGGGTGTGAGAGAAGCATATGCCTTGCCCCCTTCTATGTTCCTCTGATAGGATGAATATAGATGCCTAGCTCTGATCACTGACAGTGGTTTCCAAAAGAGACAGCAAAACACAGAAAGTGTTTATATTTCAATACACGGTTCTGTGCATTCATTTTTTTTCCTCCTCAATACTGTACTGAAATCGT